CCAATTTAAGCAACTCTGACTTCCTTAAGGGAGGATGCTTCTTAAAGGATACTCTAGTTTGTTTACCAACAATACAATGAGAATATTTCTCCAACTCTGCACTCTTCAATCCCAAAAATATATCTTTTTTAGCTAAACAATTAAGCCCCTTTTTACTGATATGACCAAGCCTTCGGTGCCACAAAGATGCCTTCATGTACACAATATTCACAACTATCCTTAACAACCAAAGTTTTAGTCCAATACAGTTTAGAATTTTTCTCCTCACTAGCCATAATCAAGTTACTTTTGGTAAGCTTCCATTTACCAGAATCAAAGTGATTGTTATAACCACTATCATCAAGCAAATGCATAAAGATAAGATTAAAATGAACATCTGGAACATGTTTGACTCCGTTAAGTAACAACTGCACTACCATGTTAGTTTGCAAGCAAATATCACCAACACCAACAACCTTTAATACACCATCATTATCCATCTTCAATACTCCAAAATCACCAGAAATGTAAGAACTCCTTCCTCTGTGTAACGTGCAGTGTAGCACCACTATTAATTATCCACATGCTCTCATCTGATACGAGATTAACAGAATCATAGTCATGAAGAAGAACAAGATCACTACCTGTAGTAGTAGTGACACGATCATCATCATGATCTTTCTCTTTCTACTTGCCCTTCTTGCCTTTGTTCTCCTCTTTCCATAGAAAATAATTCCTTTGGATGTTCCCAATTTTATTACAATAATAGCACTCCACATTTTTGTATCTTGACTTGGACTTGCTTCTCTACTACCCTTCAGCTCCTTTTTCTGACTTCTCCCCCTATTTTCTGTGACAAGCACCTTAGACTGAGATGAAGAACCTTGTGTCTTCCTTCTCATCTCCTCATTAAGAGCACTACTCTTTGCCATTTGCAAAGAAATAACGCCATTGGAGACTGAGTTTGTAATTGAAACCCTAAATATCTCCCAAGACGCAGGTAGAGTATTCAGTAGCCATAATCCCATAACTTCATCATCAAAATTGATACCCATTCCTAACAGTTGATCTAAAAGTCCTTAAAACTCATTTAAGTAATCTGAAATGGAAGAACTCTATCTGTATCTCAAATTCATCAAGCAATTCAACAAATACAACTTATTGTTGTCTGATTTAGAAGCATACAAGACCTCAATTTCTCCCACAAAGTTATAGCATGTGTCTCTCATTAGCAATGTGATTATAAACATTGTCTTCTACATATTGCCAAATAAAGCTATACACCTGTTGGTGCCCAAAGTTCCATATTTCATTAGACATAGAAACCGGCTTCTGAGTTGCAGAGACTGGAAGATGCAACTTCTTCACAAACAACAAGTCTTTCATCTTGCCCTTCCACAAATGATAATTTGTACCATTCAAAGTAAACATATTTGTATTTGCCTCTATCATTCAAGTAAGTAAATATAGTTCCAAACCAAGGGGCTCTGACACCACTTTGATGGGGAAACAACAACACAATAACCAAAAGTACCAAAGTATTTCTCCAACTTACAAGAATTAATGAAAAGCAACAACAATAGAAAAGGATAATAGAAATCATAGAGAGACACAAATATTTTTAACGTAGGAAAACTCTATGAGAAGTAAAAACTCACAGGCACAAGCCACTAAATCAAGTTCCGCTATTATCAAATAAGAGGTATAAGAGAGTCTAATCAAATGCACAAACAAGTGCTTATAATCAGTCAATACATCAAGGCAATAAAGCTTTTAATTTGAAGAACCAAGAAGAAGAATCCTAAAAATAGAGCATCTGTGCACAATTGATTTCTCCAACCACAGACTTCCAATCCATGATCCCAACGGTCATAACAAAGAACACAGTATTACTAACCTGATGTCAAATTTTCAGTCTGATCCAACGGTGAACAAAGTGGAGATCGCTATTTTACTGTGGCTGATATGTGACTATGCAAACCAGTTTTTCTGGTTTCTTTCTCTCTTCAAAAAGGCTGCGAATTTGACACTCTCTCTTGTCCTAGAAGATCCCTCTCCACTTGGATGATCAACGTGAATACTGGTCTCGATTTTTGGGGTAGAAGTGTTTAGAGGTTTTGGGGTCTTTGTTTCAAAAGGATGTATATGTAAAGGAAAGTGATTCAAATCTAAGAGAGAAAGAGGAAGTTGTGTCTCGACTTGACTTGAAGGAAGAGAATAAGGTGCAAATTGGTTTTAAATCCTTATATATGACATCCAAATTTTGTTAGAGCTTGCTTTTCTCGGGCCTTGGTAAGTGCAATTTTTGTATGTTCTCGCCGAACTCCATTAATAAGACATGGTGCTTATCCCATCTCGCCTCGGTTTAAGGTGCAATCCACGGTGGAATAGGATTTTAGGGTGTTTTCATGTGTTTTTCTTAGCTTCACTTAGGTAGCAAAATCAACATTTTCATGGCTACATCAAAGGAAAGACTGAAATATCAATTTGCGTTGGAGGCAAAATCATGCATTTGGTGTCCATTTGAAATTTAGGTCCTTGAGTCCAAAGTAACAAAGTGAGAATATGAAATTCTCTAATTTTTTTAAGTGTACCAGATTAATGCTAACTTACCAATTTAGGAATGGACAATATTTCTACAGTTTGGAATTAAGTGTTAATGACACTCAATCTCTTTGTATTAGGACATTTCAAGAAACAGAAGTTAAAAATCGCTAATTCTAAATTATCACTAATAAAGTTTGGGAGAAGTAACTGGAACTAATTTAGTGGCAATGCTATATTAATTATCTCGTACTGAGGATAAATAAAATTTAAATATTTAGAAAATATATTAGTAAGAAGATGATTCTCTTAGAAATTGATTGACTAACTACGCTGGGCCTGTAACTTCAATGATTTTGCAATTTTTTATTCCATAAAGGAATTTTGTATGCAACAATAACAATCAAGTCATATTTTCCAACAAATATGGAGTCATTAAGAAATCAAATGACATAATTATACTATACCAAAAACAAAATTATAATAAATCTACTTAAAGTATGGTGTTAATTAACTCATGATCATACTAGACCGGGATTGGACCAAGGTAAATTTTACCTACAAAGTCAGAAATTTAAATGTATAATTATTTTTATCTAAAAATTATAACAACTAAGCTTTATATTGTTAAGTGAGGTGGATTGTTATGAATTACACAAAACCATTGAACTTGATAAAAAAAATTAAATTTTTAAAATTATTATTAATCAAAATGCTTCTTTTAATAATTTCTTCTAAGGTTCTTTTAAGTCTTTTCTGCTTCTTTTTACCAAATTAGAAGCCATGACATCTATTCTCTTTATTGGTGTTTTTAAAGATCTTCTTTGTAATTGACCAAATCATCTAAAATGGTTTTTAGACATCCTTTTCATTATTGTTTATACTCTAACATGTCTATGTATATGATTATTTCTTATCCTATTATTTTTTTTACTATTTGTTCACCTTAACGTTCTTATTTTTGTTACCTATACTTTTTTTTCATTGTTCTTTTAAAACTTAACATTTATTACCATATAAGATAGCTGGTCATATGATAATTTTTTTTTTTTACCTTGATAGGTATTTTATAGTCACAAATATCTTTTGATATCATTCTTCACTTTAACTATTCAACTTGTATTCTATGACTAATATCTTTATTAATTTTTATATCATTCTGTAGAATTGATTCTAAGTACGTAAATTTGGAGACTTATGATATATTATCTCCAATTTTAGTTTGCAACACATTATTTCCGTTTTATTAATTACAATGCATATACTACATCTTACTTCTTTTCAAGTGAAAATCTTTAGATTATAAAGCTTTCCTCCATCACTCAAGTTTAACATTAACCTCTTTTTTTGAATCTTTAACTAACATGATATGGTTCGCAAAGATTATGCACTTAGCGATAATATTTTGTATGTCACTCATAAGCACATCTAAGACTAAGCTTAATAAATAAAGGCTCAAAACATAGCATTGATGTAAGTTTATTCCTACAGGAAAATCCTTGTATATATTTCTAGAAATTCTCACACATATAGTTATTCCATTTACATACATGTTTTGTATAACTTGAATATATGTTATACAAACTCCTTTCTTTTCTAAAGTTTTCTATAACATTTCACTGTACACAGTCATATAGTTTTCTCAAGTTAATAAAAGTTATATATAAGTCAATTTCTTTGTAGCGATGCTTTTCTATTAACTTTTGTGAAAGATATATAGCTTTTATTGTAAAATTTTCTGATATAAAATCAAATTGATTTTTTGCGATTCTGATTCACCTTATAATCTACGTTCCATTACCTTTTTCCACAACTTTATAGTAAGACTTATAAATTTAATTTTTCTATAGTTTACATAATTTTGAATATTACTCTTGTTTTTCAAATGTATGGACTAGAGCTTTCTTCCTCCATTCATTTTGCATATTCATAAAACATCAAAATCTCGTTAAAGAACGTATGTAGTCACTCAATTCCTTGACTCCAATGGTTAATCTTATAATTTTACTAGTGAGAATTTTTCATCTCTTAAAAGTTATCTTTAGCCTTCCATTATTTTATATTGTAATATTTTATTTTATTGATTCAATTTTCTTTAATCTGCATTTGATTTCTCCTTACATAAACAAGTCTTTTGATACCAAGAATTTAAGTCAGTTTTAGAATTGAATTATTTTTCTCAACATATCATTGGGGACTGGGGAGTGCACTGAGGTACTAGCTCATAAATCAATGTACTCAATTATTAAGGTCTTGAGCTTAATGCAAACCTGTTATATATGAATTTAAATACTTTGGCTGCTTCTCAAATTTGATTAAATTGATGTAATACATTTAGATTGTTGTCGTGGAGACTATTCTCATTAATCATACAATGCTAAGATAAAGTTTCTGATTTCATGAGCTTTTTTCGTTCATTCAAAGGAAAATATAAAGTGAAATTCTTAATTTAATATCACTGTTTTTGTTATTCGCAGCATTCAACAAACAATTGAAAAGCGTAATCGGCATGCAATGATTCAAGGACTAGAAAACCAGTGTATTGAGCAGCAGCAGGTATAATTACATCTACTTTCCAATATTCCTTGAATGATGAATTAATAATGCACCTTTTTATAATGGAACCCGGGAAAAAGGGATCTGTTCCTGAGCTAGAATATGTTAGTACTACAATGAGGAAACAAGTTCAGCAGACCCCAGCTAGCTGTTTAGATTTTCTTTTCTTTTCTTTTTGGCATTTTGGTTTTTAGCTGGTTTGTTCCAACTTAAATTTGTTTTGAAGAGTCTAATGTCGTTGAATTGATTTATTGTTGTTGTGAGCTAAGCGATCTCCTCATGGACCCATGGTCATTTGAAACAGTTATCTCATGATTCTACGGATTTAACATCAAAATCTCACTTCTTTATCAATTTTCTCATTGAGAATTGCATGGTAATTAAAATTTTTCAATTCATGGTTTAAATAATAAGGTTTGAAGCCAGTTATTCGTTTCATTGGATAGATCTTAAATAACTTGAGTCTTACAATACAAAGATGAATTTATGGGATTTTGTATCATCAGTACAAAATACACGATTCAATGATCGTTATTTTTATTTTTTTACTTTTCTTTCACCAATTCTCATAAAAGAAATTGAACAGTTATATAAGCTTTAAATGAAAAGGAATAAAAGGACCACTAGTGAAAATACCTTATTAGATTACTTCACTGCTCTATTTGTCATTCATTCACGCATGCACTCTATTTGATTCTTCCATTGCTCCATTTTTATTCTTCCAAAATAAAAGCTTCAGGCTCAAATATGATTGATGATTTTGTTTTGCATGACTTACGGTTGAGTTGTTTTGTCAATGTCTGTCTAGTTTAAAATTACTACATTGAACACTATCATTTATATGATTCATTTAAAGTTATTTTCATTGTTTCTTAATCTTAAGATTCAATGTAATTTTACAATTTAAAGATTAACTTGGCAATTCTGAAATTGAATCTCAACTATCTGATCTTAGTCATTAATTGATGCAGTCAAATATATAAAATGAATGGTCTTGAACTACTTTAGCAACGAGTGAATGATATTACAAGAGTTCTATAGCATTCATTCTATATCTGTACCTAATTGGTTTATATTAAGTTGTCTTTGACATCACTTGCTTATGCACAAATGGGAAATCATGAAAGACATTTTTCATTTTTGAAAATCTAATAATCTATTTGTAGCTTGGAAGTGACTCCTATGACATGCTGCGCAAGGAAGTAGAAGATAAGGCTCATGAACTGAGGTATATACTGCACAGCTACTACTTTAATTTGGACCCATATTTGATGTATGCACCATACAAATATGTATCGTTGAAAGGCATGGTCTCCACCTTTATTTCAGTAGGTTGAATGGAGAAGAATTGCAAGGGTTGACAATAGCAGAACTGCAGAAACTGGAGGAACTCCTTCAAAGACGTTGGACCACTATTTCAAAAATCAAGGTTTGTCCCAAATGAATTATGCTCTCAGTCCATTAGTTGATTTCCCTTATGGGATGAAATCTATAACTAGATTATACATGTAAATTCAATCTTGTGCTTGTATGTTATACGTGGCTGAATCAAAATGGTATTCGTGCTTTTGACAAAGGATATTATTAATTCCCGTGTTTTCAGGATGAAAAAATTTTACAAGAGATCAACCACCTTAAGACAAAGGTAAAAACAATTATGCTACATTTCAAATCTCATTTGATTTTTGTGTTATAATGGGCATTTTTGGTCAAATAAATTTCATCCTTTGTGATGTATGAGGAATCAATTTAGTTTTGAGGATAGCGTGGCATACATTGTCCTCAAATACAATTAGACAGTGCAAAAGAAAATTAATTTATAATCGATTCTATAATTGTTAATTCACCTTGCGAAATTAGTTTAATATGAACAAATTAAGTGAGGAACTAGATTGGACCTTGTAAGAGATTGTTAAGAAAACATTATATCTCAAAATTATAGGGAATCAAAATGAAACCTTAAAGATGTAATTTCAAGTTAGAAAATTATTAAAATTTGTCCTGGTTAAAATAATTTAATGAAGAAGCCATCTATCTAATTCAGAAACAGGGAGACTTGATAGGAAATAAGCTAAAGGTTTTATTTATTCGTTATCTTGAAGAAGTATTCAAAAAATTAGTAATTTTTTTTAATAAAAATGAACATTAAGAAGATCCATCCTGTTAGCAGTTCTTTCACCTAGAAGTCTCACAACCTTTTTCTATGATAATGTTTGGCAATGATGCTCATGAAGGAAGCCGAACTTAAGGAAGAGAACAAGAAATTGAAACAGGTACTGTGCTTTCCCAAATCTTGCTCATTTACATGTGGTCTACAAGCTTTTATATAGAAGGAACTTTAGGACTTACTTAGCAACAATTAGTATTAGTGTAATACAATTAAATTTTTGGTACAGAGCTTTGTACAAGAGCAAAGGCAATCATACGAGTCAATTACTTGCAGTTCATCTGATCATCCGCCAGACTATGGTAGTTCTGATACATCTCTCAAGTTGGGGTAATTAGTTTACACTTAGGTCTTTCATAATAAATTGTAAATTACTTCTCAACATGCTTAATCTCATATCTTGTAAACTTGGAGAGATTACAAAATTTGAGGAAAACTACCATGATGTTTTCCTGTGTTACTTCAAACTTGTTAGAAGATTCTCACTTGTGTTTACCTTAATTTCTCTGTGTTATGCAGGTTGCCTGCATTTCAATAAAACAAAAATTGTTGACTTGGTTCAGAGGACTATGTGAGAAGTGAACAGATTTACATCACCATTGTGTCTCTCAGCCAAGATCAGTGTTATTTTTCGTATTTGAAAACAACTTGCTGGTGAGTTGTACCAGCTGAATTTTATTGGGAAAATGTGAGTAACTTAGTGTATGTTTAGTAGCACATTTACATCTTTAAGACACATTGCATGATGTAAATGTGTTTTAATTATTTTGTCAACATATTTGGTAAGTATGAATTAAAATTGATTGACTTTCATCTCATGTTTAAATAGACATGATTAGTTATAATATTTATGTTTAGTTAAAAAATTTATATTATTTATTATAAATTTATTTTTAAGAGAGAATTTTTAAATATAAATTACATCAATTTAAAACTCAATTTTAAATAAAAAAAATTATTCTGACTCAAATTTATGAATACTCATTCAAAGATACTTATGTGTTAACCTAATTAGAACATGAGTTGTCGTTATAATGTCAGTTGTAATGACTAAAATAGATAGGAATTGTTATTCATAAATATAATTTTGTAAATATCATTTTAAAGCAATTTATTTTTTATAAACATAAATTATTATTTTTATATTAAGTTAAAAAAATTAGATTAAATTTTACTGTAAATTTTTGTAAAGTTATATTATTTTAATTTTTCTATAGATAATTAATTATATAAAATTAATTTATTTGAATTTAAATTTACAAATGCTCGGTCCTGCACCTGTTAAGGCAACATAAGATGCCCCGACAATTAGATTTGAATTGATTATTAAATGTTTCTTTACATTAAAATTAAGTGAAATTAAATTTAAATTATTAAATATGATTTGTATACATATATAAATAAATATAAATTATAAGTTTTTATAAAAAAAGTGAGAACTTTTTAAAAAAATGTAAACGAACAAGCCATTTATTAAAATTTATTATTTTTGTTTATACAATTTTATAAACATAAGCCTTTAAAGATTAATTTTAAATGTTTTAAAAATAATAAATTTTTATTTTAAAAATATAAATTATATTTTTAAATTTTTATATCACAAATTGTTAGTTTTAGTAAATTTATATGATTTTTAAATACTTAAAGTCAAGATTAATATTAACATTTTCAAATTTAAATATGAAAAAAGAGTTGTCACTTTATCGTACGAAATTCTAACCGGATAAGATCTATTCCGCTGTACCGAGGATTTGGTGCAACACTTTGCTTTTTATTAGTCTAAATAAAATTGATTAGATAGATAGAACAAATTTTTTTAAAATGTTTTTTTAATTATAATTTTTCACAAAAAAATTCAATTTTTTATAACTTAAATCAATAGCTGTATAAAATTAGACAATTATTTTGAATTCGAGTGTCCTAAACAAAAGAGTATAAGATTGATCCTCATTAAAGCTGGTTAGAGTTGTTTCCACATTATGTTTTAAGAGCATATATTATCTCAGTTATTACACCATTAAAAGAGTTAAAGTTTTATTTATGCAATAAATAAATAAAAATAAAAAAATATTGAGATAATAATTATCTTAAGGGTAAAATTAAAATAATATATTACTTTAAAATTATAAAATAACTATTATTTTGAGAAAATAAGACTAACTAAAGAAATTTTTTTCACATACAGAGGAGTAACTTGGATGTGGTTGATAACAACAGGATTTTTACCAATAAATGTTTCTTTTTCTGGCTGGTCAAACCTGTTTTCAAGGTAGTAAGTTTTGTATTAAAGTGTTAGATTGTATGCTGACTTTTTAGAGTTATGGCAAGATTAAAGTACGCGTTGCTGATAAAATAAATAAATAAAAATAGAGGAGTAGGATGTTTTGTAATTTATAGATGAAAAATGCTAAAACAATTATTAAAAAATTGAAAATGAAAATATTTTATCAAAAAATAATTAATTTTTATATATTTTTAACATTTTAATATAATTATATATTTTATTAAAAATGCTAAATCATTATATTTTTAATACATTTAAATATAATTTTTAACAATAATTAATTATTTATTATTTTTTTTTACAAAGTGCTTTTAAAGTAGTGATTAGTAATTAATACCTTTTTCTGAGTTTTGTTTAAGTTTATAATTTTACACACGAAAAAATAATAATAAAAATTATTATATCCCCCTTATTTATTGTATTATTTAAAAAACACATTTTTCAGCTAGATTTTTTTTTTATTTTCTACAGTTGGAACGATACAATAGTGGCAAACATACGTTTATTAGTCACTTTTCTTTTGGTGGGTTAGGTTCTAATTAAGTTAGTCTTTTTCTTTTCTTTTTTTTTTTTGTGTGAGGGTCTTTAGACAAGAGAAGAGAGTTTTATAAATAAAATGTCGTAATCTCATATTTTAAGTTTTCAAAATTGGAATTTTTTTTATTAATAACTCTCATTTATTTATTTATTCATATTTCTTTACTCTTCAAATTCTTTCATTTATTTATTTTTTTAACTTTCAAGCAAAACTTTGGACTTTTTGTTACAAAAACAGGACCAACCCCAAAATGTAGATAAATGTAGATCTTCATTTTAATTTGGGTTTGATTACTCTTTACTTCATGTCACTCCAAAAAAATAAAACTTTTCTTCAACAACCATATAAAATTTGACACATTAATTATTATTCTTTTTATTATATTATAAGGACCTTGTAGTGTTCCCCTGAGTTTTGATCAAGTTAGCAAAATGGTGAGAAAGAAGATTCCCCTGTCATGAAGATTGATGACATAAATGTAGGTGAATTCTACTATTCTCCTATCTTTTGTAAAAAAATAAAGGATATATGTCTTTTTGAAAAGCGTTAAAATATTGTGAATCGTTGACAAAAATCCAATGATCCAAAATGGAAGACTGGTAACCTTTGAGATTTTTCTTTAAAAAACACAACAAGTATATCAGGTCTATTGCATGTAATAACTAGTGAAGTACCAAAATATCGTCCTCTGACAACAATTCAAAATGTAATAATTGTTAAGATAAAAATCAATTGAGCTTATATACAATAAAATTGACTTGTGATTTTCATAAGATTTGAGTGACAATTATAATGTAAAATAATAATGTTAAATGTAAAATTCAAATTAAAGAAACTGAGATTGAATTTCATCTATCTTTCTCTCTGTATTTCAGTAATTCAGTGATAAATATAGCAATAATTTTCTAATGATATTGATGCAAAAAAAAAAAGTCATATATCTCAATTCCTTAAAAATATATTTTTAAGATAATTTCTTAAATGTTGATCCCTCAAGCAATTAACAAATTATCCAGCACTATAATTAGGATTTAAAAACAATCAATAACTTGAAATTTTTTCCTAAAGTAACCAGTTATTGAGTAATCTCAATCAAATTTAGATCTTAGTAATATCTTTCCAGATATAACTCAGCTTTGGGCTCAAGAAGCTATTAGTTAGAAAAATTCAAGCATTAAACTTGGATTGAAATCTCCAAATCAATAGAAATAAAGAAGAAATAGCTATATTTATATAAATTACTGAGAATATATCAAGTTTGAAGATTTACATTCAATCCCACAAAAGTTTTAGCTACTCATTGAAACCATAGTAATAAAAATTGAGATACAAACGGTATAGAACATGAGAAAATAAGTATTCCTACCCTTTCTCTCAGCTCTCTGCCGCTCTCTCTCTCTAGGAACAAGAATGAAACAGTAATCTTTTAGAAACACAAAAGTCGGGTTTTATACTGATCTGGACAAAGCTTCTCTCGCTACAGCGACACCTTCTCGCTGTAGTGAGGAATTGAGGCAAAATTAGGTCATTTTATTTGTCTCTCACTGCAGCGACACAGGTCTCACTACAACGAGGATAGGCACTCTCATTGTTGTAGCGAGAGGAGCACATATTCACTCTTCTAAACTCATCACCTCTCGCTGCAACGAGGATGGATTGTACAGGAGAAACCTTCAGAATCTTTCTTTTCTTTAACTTCATGCTTTTGTGTGCCTCTTGCTTACTTTTCCAAATTTCTTGAACTGTGGGTAATGTTTCTTTTCTGATTCTAACTACAAAATATATCAAAAAGGAATCAAAATATTTACAATTGCATTCTTCTCCTCAAATATACAAGTAATTGTAAACATTTCAAGTTTAGAAAAAATTTAACCAAAAAATTCAAACATTTAATATGAAAAGTGTTCAAGTCATCACATAAAATTACCCAATTTATACATTTATCAGTAATCGGTCATACAAGTTACATTATAAAAGGAGAAATTGGTAATTTAATATAGATGTTCGTATTCGTGCTATGTTGAGTTCTACCTTTTATTATTTTGTATCCATTTGTTCAGTGTGTACTGTAGACTCCATCAATCACGCAGTTAAGCATCATAAATCATTTGAAATGTACAGAATTGTTGTCTTTAAAAACATTACTAATACGTTATGATTTTGGTTAAGGTTTTGGTATACAATTTTTGATGAATGGGTGTGGAGAGTTTACAGGTTGCATTATCTGAAATTGAAAAAGGTACTTTATGCAAGTCTATCTCAGATTAGAAATGAATAAAATAAGGTTGAAGAGAAAAACAGCATAGAGTTCTGAAGATTCAATGTAGAATGTAGGGATATATTTATAGGTCGTATACTATATACATCGGTTAGATTAAACATTCGATATAGACTGTAATGTTTTGGAAGAATTAATTTTGAACATCGGTTAAGTAGAAAGGCGATGTAGATAATGGTGAGGTATTTAGGGATATATTTATATTTATAGGTCATATACTATGTATATCGGTTAGAATAAAAATTTGATGTAGACTGTAATGTTTTGAAAGAAATAAGTTGCAACATCAATCCCATAGAAAGCCAATGCAGAAAGTGGCGAGGTATTTCAAAAATAGTGAATTGCACATTTGGTGAAAGTAAAGACCGATGTGAAAAAATATAATGTTTCAACTTCAACAACCAAAGCAGATGTCCATCAAACCAATTTTGATAATAAAGGACATCAATGTAATTTTATACAAAGTTGCTATAGTGGATTTCGATTTATTTGTTTTATGTTTAATATGTGCATGGTGTTTCAGCTGATATACAGTTCATAAAAATTGCCCACAACCATCCACCTTCCTTGTCAATTATTGCATGTCGTGTAGAAAAAGCAGAAGGAGGAATACTGAACGTGGTCATTTGCAGCCAACCTTTGGACCCTATATTTGAGGTTTAACTGTGAAAAAGATCAACGCCGAATAATTTGAAGAAAAGTACAACTAAAGGTAAATTTGTTCTTCCTTTCGTGGACGACCAAAGTCTATGTTTTTGT